TCTTTCTTTCTTTCTTTCTTTCTTTCTTTCTTTCTTTCTTTCTTTCTTTCTCTTTCTCTCTAGAAGCGTCGTGATACTGTATATTAAGTTGGGCTTCCTGTGTGTCTTGCCATGTGCCCGTTCCATTCCTTCTCAAACAAGTTTTCCAAGATGGCGGACGAAAAGGTAAATCTGATTTTCTACAAGGATTTCGCACTCATAAGTTCATTATCTAGAAAACTCGGTAATTAACAACCTTCTGAGATCTAAAATGGAACTTTTTGTGGTGAAGCGTTACATGGGGGATGGAGAATTGACACCAAACAGCAAAGACGACGAGGCTGAAAGACTTAGTTTGCTCAAGAAACACATTGAAAAAAGGAAACGAAAACTTGCTATTGAGACTAAAGATATGTACGAAAAAGATGGCAAAATTACGAAGGAAAGTAATGAAACTGAGGACGTGAAATTCGCCAAGGAACGAGAAAGGAAAGCCAAAGTTTTATTGGAGACAAAAGAGAAGGATATGCCAACTTCGAACGAGGAATTTGAGGAAGCACGTGAGAAGAAAAAGAAGAAAAAAAGAAAAAAAACGAAGGTTAACACCTGCACTAGTGATGCAAAAGAGGAAGATAAGCCAGAAATGGCCGAAGAAAAAGATATTAATGAAATAACCGAGTTGAAAAAGAAAAAGAAAAAAAATACTGAAGTTGAAGAAAAAATTGAAATTCCTGAAAATGTCTCTGGAATCTCAGAAAATCTAAAAGACTCAACAGAGGAGATTCCAAAAGAAATATGTGATTCAGAAGTGAGTAAGACTGATTTGGGTTTTACTGTAATTGGACAAAAAAGGAGAAATAAAGATATAAAGAAAGTTGAAAAATCCCTCCCTGACTGGCTTGCAAAGCCACAGGTCGTTGATACAGACTTAAACTCCAATCTTTTACCTGTTGATGAATTAGATGTCTTGTCCAAACAAATAAAGAACAGACTTCAGGAACTTAAGATAACATCACTTTTTCCAATCCAAAAAGCTGTAATACCGACCATTTTAAACCAAATTCAAAAAGGATCATTGTACGGCATTGGAGGTTACCGACCATCCGATATATGTGTGTCTGCCCCAACAGGTAGTGGAAAGACATTAGCATACGTCATACCCATTGTACAGGCATTAAGTACTCAGACTGTCTGTCTCCTACAGGCTTTAGTGTTACTGCCCACAAAAGATCTGGCTTTTCAGGTTAAACAGGTTTTTGAGGCTTTTGTTAAAGGAACTGGTTTGAAGGTTGGGCTTGCGTCGGGGAATAAGGCATTGGCTAAGGAACAGGAGAGTCTTATTGGACAAGGGTAAGTATAAAGGAAATGGGTTAATAGTTCCAGGGGGAGGGGACGTACTACTATATAAAGGGGTGGGGATACTCATACAACATTTTGAAAATGACCCACAAGGGGTAACTGGATCTTGAGGAGATGATCATGGCAACTATTGATTTGTGACAGTTAAAGGTTCCGATATCCATTATCTAAGCTACAGAAATCAGAAGGTGAACTGGAAATAAACATCTTAAAGTGCGAATCAAAAAATCATGGGCACCTACAGAAATATTTCAAGAATGTTTAATAGCCAATCAGAAGTGTTATTGTTATCTTTCCATTATCTTGTGGTTAGAAAGTCAATTCTCATTGGCCAAAGAAGAATGGAACCCTAGAAGTTGCAACGAGCATCCCTGCCCTTTTTCAATGGGAGCACTGACCCCAGGGGTAATTGTAGAAATAAGAGTGAGAAATTGTCTTTGAAAAAAAGTGATTGATAAATTTCTCTGCACCTCGTATTATATCTTTATACTACAACTACCATAATCCTTTTTATATTTTCTTTTTGTTAACCTCATTACAGCACTTGCACTCAAACCATGAAAAATTTAGGGTTTTTTAACATTTTTGAATCATCCAATCTGAAGCCAGATTCATAACGCTGCTCCGACATTCATGTCTTGATACCATTAATACCACTATCCTTTTCATACTTTCCTCTTGTGAACCTCATTAACACCATTATTATGTCTTTATACTGCAACTACCATAATCCTTTTTATACTTTCCTTTTGTTAATCTCGTTACAACATGGGCACTCGAACCATGAACACTTCAAGGTTTTTTAACATTTTTTGAATCATCCAATCATTCATGTCTTGATACCACTAATACCACTATTATTTTCATACCTTCCTTTTGTCGACCACATTAACACCATTATCATTAAAGTGTAATCCACCAAGCTTGATATCTCTTTTGCTGACTAGAATTTTGATGGCCAACATCAAGCAAACAAAAATATATACAGTCAATGTCATTAACGTTGTCCACTGAAAAAAGACATTTACACATTTAGACGAAAAGAAATATCACGTGTTTCCTCGAACGTTCTGGCATAAAACAAACGCTGAAATACCATTCTCCATCTTAAATCCTCACTAAATGGTCGGGGCATTCTGGATTTTCGATTGGCATGGGTTGAATTTTACATTTAAAGTTCAGGCTGACGCACACAAGGCAAAGAATACATAATGAAACACGCGATATTTCTTTTAGTCTAAATGTCTAAATGTAAACGTGTAAATGTGTAAATGTCTTTTTTTGGTGGACAACATAAATGACATTGACTGTATACATCTTGACGGAGATGTTTTACTTTTGATTAAATATTTCAATCCTCTAATCCCCTAAAACTTTCACTCAGGACAATTTTCTAGAGAATAAATAAATAGAGTTAAAAATAAGATTATGTGTCCTATAAAACCAATATTAAGAAATTATTAATTTTTTCAAACTCAGGTATGGCAGTTTTAGCCATGTGAATATCCTGGTTGCGACACCTGGTCGTCTTGTGGATCACCTGTCATACACTCGGCACTTTACTCTGCAACATCTGAGGTTTCTTGTGATTGATGAAGCAGATCGCTTACTGGACCAATCGTATCATGACTGGCTGAATAAAGTGCTCAAAGCTTCATATGTCAATCATTCTGAGAGACAAGATTCTATTGGTTCTCTGTGTAATGGATATAGGTGAGTAACATTGGGTTTCCAAATGGCTTCTGCCACAAATAGGTTTTTTTTGGAACCATTCAATACCCTACTCAGGCGCTCTTCACACCTTGAAAATTCCAATCCCACTCCATGGGGGAGGTTTGGATATTTTCTCGTACAGTACTGCACAATATACCCTCCTCAGACCCTCCCCACCCCTTGAAAATTCCAATCCCACTCCATGGGGGAGGTATGGATATTTTCTGAGAATACTCAGAACACCCTCCTCAGACTCTTAGAAATTCATTTCATTCCATGTATATTTTCTGGAATTACACAATATTCTCAGCTCAGACCCTTGCCAACCCTTAGTTTTATCTGAAATCACACATTTGAGATTGTAGTACATGCATGGCTTCCCCAAAAGGTGTTATTCCATAATGGCAATGTTTACTAGATAAATAAATTGAAATCATCAGTAATCATCATTAATCAATCAGTAAACAAGGCTGTCTTAAATAAGGCACAACACAGGAATCCCATCTACCTGTAAAGTAACCTAAGTAAAATAGTGTCAAAATCATGAACTTTTACCATAACTCAGTGAAATCGTACATGACTGTTATCATTCATACCAGAGTTGTTATGCAATTGTTTTTATTTCAGTTGACAGCTCATATCACTTGACATCATGTCAGGAAGTCATAGCTGTTGCATTTTAAAACAATTTGCACAGAAAACTGAAGCACTCAAAAATACTCAAGAGTCAAATACATATTCTGGCAAGTTTTCTATTTATTTTGGTAGGCTTTTCATTTCAATGATTCCTTTTAAGACTGTTAAGCTTATAATGAGATATCTACTGCATTTGTGTATATATGTTTTGTATTTTAAAATATATTGTAACAGTTTTTATCAAGAAAAGTTAAGATTCATGTTAAAATACTGTAGTGTGGTTTTACATATTTTTAG